CAGACCCGGTGGCCAGGGAAGCACTGACCACATGCTCACACCATCTGGTGAAAAAGATGCTGAACCAGCAAAACAGGCACAGTGCACAGGGGACGTTTTCTTCACACTAGAAATGTGTTCATCCGACATGCGTGGACGATACGTCCTATTCCCGCCCCACGGGAACGACGTCCTGCGTGAGGCCATCATTCTTAAAGCTACGACCCAAACACAAGCAACTGGTATCCTCTCCATATGTCCCTTGTCACTTCTCAGTCTTCAGGTGTCTTTTGAGCCACAATGGGTGACTGACGAGTGAAACAAAAGAAAAAGAAATAAAACCCTCAATGTGGTCCAGGCGGGGAACCCAGAGGCCACTGACTAGGCAGACTGTCCTAGGAGCCCCAAGCCACGAAGCTTCCACGAAACCCAAAGGAAACACAGGCCTCAAGGTCATGCAGACTCCCAAGTGCAAGAACATCCGGACATGAAGTGACCACTCACCAGGGAGCAGCGTACAGGTGCGGCCAGCGCTGGCCAGAGGACGGCTTTCTCTGAGCAAATCTTCGAGAAGCTAAATCCAAGCTGAGGCTCCGTCAGCCTCTGGGAAGCCTACAGTTGGTAGAAGAGACCTGGACCCAGCCCAACACCAAGTTGACGCAGACGACGCGAGCCCGTGTCACTCTTTACGTGACCTGACGCTCCCGTGGACACGAGCGAGCTGCAGGTGCCTCTCCTGCCACGGGACGGTGGCCCCTCTCCAGCTACGGGTGAAGACCGAGGCCTGCGGTGTGCACCAGATGAAAAGGAACAGCCAATGAAATAGTGGTCGGCCACCTGCCATGTCTGACCCCTGAAACACGTTGCCGGCCACCTGTCTTTCCTTTTCTTAGAAGGGCAGGCCAGGGCGCCTTCACTGCGGGGCTGACTGCGTTCCGGGGACGCTTCCCCAAGCCTGCGAAATCCAGGCGCGCGATCCCTCCACCTGCGGAGCCCGCACCCACCCGAGCCCCAGCGGATTCTGCAGTCACCGGCACTGGACGCAGGCCATCCGGAGTCCAAGCCCCCAGGCTTTTCATAGAAAACCAAAGACAAAGTCACACAGATGCATGACTGGGTTATGAAAACGGCTAAGATATTCTCGGGCCAGATTTAAAAATCACATGAAAATACATTTTAGGGCACACAGCAAAGAAGAGTGTGTACACACACGTTGTTTAGGACTAATGTACAGGGACCACTGAGGTTACAAGGCCTTTATATAATTTTCTTATTTAATCTTCACCAACTCTAAGGTGTTATCTCCATAGTACAGGTGAGGAAACTGTGGTTCAAAGAAATTAAGTACCTTGCTGAGGGCTACGGGCACGTCAGAAGATTGCAGAACTCCCTCTGTGACGACATCTCTACTTCAGTTTGAGTGAGAACACACTGGACACGTACACAAGGAACACGGATGTTCACAAGGGCAGGCAGGCATGTCTGCGGCTAAGGCAGGCATTTCACACAGCGATGCAGGTTTATAGGATTAGAAAGGGGGTCCCCAATTACTAGGTCAGGACATGCTCGGGAAACACAGGCTTTTCTGCAGGATTTCTGTCATTAACGTGACAATATGGATTGCAGATGACAAAGACAACATGCAAGGTGTGTGTTTGCTTTTTGAGATCTCTTCTGCTTCTTAGAATATACTTTGGAAAAAGCTGAGGAAAAGTCCCTAAAACCAAATTCAGGAAGAACTGAGTCTCATAATTTGGGAGTTAATATTCTCCCCCCCTTTCCCCTGGGGTTTCCTGTACTTAAATCCCAAAGTGAGTTAACTTGTCAACTGACTGGCATTGGAGAAGGCCGAAGGCTCAGGTCACCTCCAAAAGCAGGACGGGAAATCAGTGGACAGAGCATGAAGCCGTGACGAGATGGGCCTGAGCACACGTCATGTTTGTGGGACTTAATAAAAAAGCCCTTGAGTAAGGTCTTCGTGCAGTTTAATTCCTGACTTTCCAAGGGCTCATCATGCACCCTGGGTCCAGGTCCTTGCTGCCTTTCCTTCCACGTTGGAAGGCACAGCCCTCTGGAGAGCAGGCAGGGCCTGGATGCTGCAGGATCCACCTGCCCGAGTGGCGGGCCTTGGAGGCCCAGCACGTCTGGGGAGCATCCGATGAGCTTGGGGGCCAGGCCACGGCTGGGGCTTCAGCCCACAGTTCTTCTCCCCACACCCAGCTTCACCTTATTTCTTAGTCCTCAAAACGCACTAAGTGTTCTCAATGCATAAACTACATGGGGAAGATCAGTGTATTTCCAATTGATGTGAAGGACTAGAATGTAATGAAAATGGTCTTTGTTCACTAATGATTCCTCAGAGCCTAGAACACATCAGGGCACATAGTATGTGCTCAATACAGCTCTGCCGAATTAATAATTGATGGGACATGCCAGCAGGTTATGCACTGCCACCAGACACATTCATCTGCGTCTTTAAAAGCTTGTCCGACTATGAAATTCTCCAGGTGCTGCTGGGGGTACGGGACAGGGGACGGCAGGGACCGTCAAGCAGCTGGGACTCAGGTCTCCAGACAGAGTGACACAGAACTCAGCGAGAAGATGGGTTGTCTGGCTCATTTATAACACTTCCTCTGCTTCCTTTAAGGTGAACAGATACAGGAATTGGTACACGGGTCTGATAGGAAATGAAAGACTTCCAACAGTTTTTAACTGGATTAATTTCGGGGCAAAGGACACCTTCTTTTCATAAAAGAGGTAGTTAACAGCTTACTTACATTGTATCAGCAAGCTGCGACACCCCCCTTTACAAAAATCATCCTCTATTATAACTTTCAAAAACAGCTTAACTAGTTCTGGAATAGGCCACATTCACCAATAAAAACTGATTCTCTAGCATTCTCAACTTCAAACACAACATTTGAATAGTTATTTCTGAGAACATGCCACCCAATATTCTCTCTCATGTGACTTTAAAAAAATTCACTCCAATACCAACAGATTCAACTTCATAGCACCATTCCAAAATACTAAACTTTCTTTGCACCTTTATTTTTATCTTTTTTTTTTTTTGTACACATTTAAAGTATGGGCATCCTGTAAATTTCTGAAAAGCCTCACAGGAAGAAGAAAAACCGACTAACTTTTAGGACAAAGCAGTAACTCAGTTTGTAGGCAAGATGATCTCAGGCGGGCTGTGAGTTCTTCGTGGGCGTCTGTTGTCTTGAACCTGGGGTGAGAATGTAGGAAGGATGCTAAATTCCTCCTGGATTTCTCTAGAGGTCACGGTCATGCCAGTATGCAAACACCTGTTGCTCAATGGTCAGACTCTAGGAAGTGAGTACAACTCAACCATGACAACAACAGTCTCTTGTAATAATTTTACTCTTTTGATTGACAAATGAATTGGGATATTAGATAACTTCCAAGTCTGTATACACCTTTTATTCATACTCTAGAGGAGAGAAATTCTAATAATATTGAATTCCCTTTGAAGCTTGGAGCTCTAAAATCTGTTCTTAGCAAGCAGATGTATTTCAAGTAGAATTAGAAATGGGTTTTTAATTCAACATGTATTTGGCTGATTGCTATGTAAGAAGACTAAGTAACATGGGCGTTGATGGATGAGACTGCTTGCAGATTTTTTCTTGTGACACTCGAGAGTCACGCCTCACACTGATTATAACTGCTAACTCTTCCACGTGTGACCATGAGTGATATGACCCAACGACAGGTCTGGCAAAGGACTGAGTTTTGAATATGCAGTGATGACAGGGTGGTGTGAAGAGGTAGAATCAGGAGGGTGTCCACCTAAGCTGGATTCTGCAGCAGTTTCAAAGAAAGTGATTTTGTCACAATAACAGTCAATGACCCAGGAAGAAAACGTTTAAATTAGAAATGACTAGTATTAAAAAGCTACTGTGCACCAGGTAGGAAGGAATATGAGAATACCAATATGCCCTGAAATAGAAATAATCACTTTGCACTATGTACACCACATACAATATAACATATTCTTTTTAACATTACACAATATAAATATTATACACGGAGTAAACTAAATGCAAAATAACTTTGAGGCACACAGAAGAAACATGGAATAGATTGAACTCTGATTAAAATTAAGACGGGCTTAGGAAAAGGCAGAGTCTCACACACAGGCCAGCGGGCGCTCCAGGCCTCACCCCGTGGGCAAGCGGCCACCTCCCACATATGCTGAAAGTTCTCATACCTCAATGTCGTTCGAGTTGATTGCTTCCAACAAAGGCTAATTAGCTAAATCATTTGAGAAAGTCAAACTGTTGCTCCCCACTCTAAAGCAGGTAACCCTTCAAGGTCCCTCCCGACCTCACGGGTTGTAACGAGGGGCTGTTAGTACACGGCTGTATTTCCCTATATCTTGTAAATAACTTGGTTGCTATGAAACCACTTGAAGGAAACTAGAACAGTATTCAAGAACACCCATCACAGTGCTTAACAAGATTTAATGTACATTTATTCTTAACATGTGGAACATATAAAGATTTTATACTGAATAAATGATATTCATTAAGCCAGAGGAAAAGGAGGAATTTACATCAAGATTTTTTTCTTTTTCTTTTTTTTAAACTACATTATCTTGAAATACAAATGTGGATTCTTGTCACTGAAAAATCTTTGAAGTTGTATTTCTTCCTTTTAGTTGTATTTTTCTCTTTTTTGTCTGTACTGGTAACCATTTTCTAAATCAATCCATACCAACCCTTTCCACACCTGATTCGTGAAGCGAACGGTGACCGGCTGCTCTCCCGGACAGAGCATGACTTCATACGCACAGAAACTTGTACATTACCCTCTTTTTTTTTTGTTTTTGTCTTTTGTATTTTTTCTTTCTTTCTTTTTTTTTTTTTTTTTTGAGATATGGCCCTAATGAAAAAATATATAAAATAAAAATAAAAATTATTTAAAATCTACCATCACTTTGTAGTTACCACATCATGAAAAAGAAACTAAAAACTTTGTGCTAAAAAAAAAAAAAAAAAGAAAAAAGAAAAAAAAATGAGGGTATGTTTAATGTACAACTTCTATATACATCACAGCCCATAGGCAGTAAAAAAAAATATTTAAAAAATGGTTAAAGGAATTGTGAAGAACTGTCGCGTGGGAGGCGGAGACGGACAGCGGACGTGGCGGCATCGGTGAGGAAGCATTTCCGTGGGCCGTTGTCAACCTTAACTTAAAAAGAAACATTAGTTTTGCTCCTAGCCTAATGTGACCATTTTCCTGTGGAGAAACCAGTCGCATTTCATAGTCTGACCACTGACTGACACACCTCCTTGAGCCCCTATCCCTACATTTCTAAAAGATTTTATTGCACAGAGCTTTGGGTGATGGGATACATTTTTTAATTCATTATCTGAAGAATACACCTGGGATATTGATGATTTCTCACCTTTTGGCCTCAATGTGGTGAAATTTTCCCATCTTAGCATCTTTTGCCACATTTTTCTTTAAAGTCAATTTGCTTCCCCAAAAATGCAATACAACATGGAAAAAGAAAGAACATTAAAAAGAAAATCGGTGAAAAAAAGTGACCTTTGAATGCACTAGACAGCAATTTTGGTTAAAAAAAAAAACAAAAAAAAAAAAACAAAATAAAAAAACCCAAACAGATGTACTTATACACACAGACAGCAAATATTAATTTCATAACTGTTCGAATTAATTATCTCTTTAATTCCCAATCGGTAAGTAGTGAATGGGGCAGAGGAGCAAAGATTTTCTTTTCCTTCTCCCTACGGATAAACGAGAACAGAAAACAGCCAGTTACACGGGAGCTCTAGCCTTCACTCACACTGCTGTCATAACTGCCCGATCTGAAACAGTACGTCACAGATGACAGACGCGACCAGAGAGTTCAGGACGGCCGATATGGAGATATCCAGCAACCGGCCCTCGTGCAGAAGGAACTCCGAGCGGTTCTCGTCCACCCTGGCCATGGCCAGCAGGGCCTTGGCCGCCCTGCACATCATGTCCACGCTCGGCGGTTCTAGAGGCGGGGGCTGCATGTGCATGAGGTTATGCTGGCTCTGCTGATACTGGGCCATGGTGACCCCGTCCTCCAGGAAGCTTATCAAGTTGCCAATGCTTCCTTTTTGCACAGCTATTGCCCTCGCCGCGAGCGTGTCCCCTTGGGCCAGGTTCGATAAAAGCGCCATGGACATTTCCCGACAGACCGGGTTTTTGCGATCCCCCACGTACCTAACTAGCGTAGCATAGAACTTCTCCTGCCGACTAAACGGAGGCGTGGCCAAGATCAGGTCCACGTTATTGTCCTGGATGCTGAGTTTACAGAGGGTCTCCAGCACAAGCCTCTGAGGCGACAGGACGGAGTTGGGTCCCACCGTCGGAAAGGGGTCTTGGGCCTCTGCAGACGGGCACACCATCCAGTGCAGCAAGCCGTCCAGGATGGGCAGGCAGATGCTCTCCGTGTAGGCGGACAAGTCTAGCTGCCCGGAAATGTTGGCTAACGTGACCAGCGTGTTATCCCGCAGGACCTCGAGGCAGTCCCACCACCACTCGTCCTTGCTGCAGGCCAGCCCTTTGTCCTCGTCCTCCTCCTTCTCGTAGGTCTGCGGGGCTCGTTTCCTCTCCGGATGCTCGTGGTGAAGAAGAATCAGCTTCCCCAGGATCAGCACCAAGCCTGGATGTTTGGACATTTCGGCGTCGTTGCCAGGCACGAAAGACAAGCTACGGACAATGTTGGACACGCAGATGCAGCGCTTGGCCAGGGAGTCCTGCCAGTGCGCGACGGTGCAGAGCGGCGTCTCGTCGCGGCTGCGCGGCTCATCCTCCAGCAGCTTGATGTTGCGGTGGCTCTTGGCCTGATGGATGCCGAAGGGGAACTTGCTGCTCTCGGCCTGCGCCCCGGCGTTGGCGTCCTCGGGCAGCGCGCCTGGCCTGGCGGACAGGACGTCGTCGATGGTCGCGATGATGCTCCTCTCCTGCTGCTCGTCCCAGTCCCCTCTGCCCTCCGGCTCTCTCCTTCGGCCCGCGGAGCCGAGAGGGGGCGGCGGGCGCCTGCGCGGGGGGATCTCCATCTTGCTCTCGAAGTGCGTCTGGATGTGCTCCGTGGTGTCCCCGCCGCCCAGCTGCCAGTGCAGGAGCCCGCTGCTGAACTCCTGCACGCGGCCCAGCCTGTCGGAGCGGTCCACCACGAACAGGGTGTTCTTCCTGACGATCTTGATGGGCAGCTTGTCAAACTTGCTCGCTTGCCGGGGCTTCTCCTGGGGATCTGCAGCGGCGTCGGGAGCGCTCGAGGCCGGGCTGCCCTTCTCCTCGGGCTCTGCCTTCCCCCCGTCCTCCTCCTCGTCCTCCTCCTCGTCCTCCTCGTCCTCCAGGCATTCGGCAGCTTCCTCCTCCTTCCCGGACTCGCCGGCCCAGGCCTGGCCGTCGTCTGTCTTCACTGCGTTGTGATCAAGTGCTTTTTGGCTGGGGTCTCCCACTTCATATTCCATAAGGATTCCAAAAATGTCAATCAGGCATTTTCTAAAGTACTCTACTAGAAGTTCGAGGAATCCGGACAACTGGAGAGGAGAAGAAAGAACAAGAACAGGTTCAATGTCGTACATCAGACGGGCTGTCAGAGCCAAGGGGAAGGTCCTGACAGCTAGAAACACGTTTCGTGATGGTTTCACGCGCCCTGCTGCATTTCTGGCTCTGCCAAGAAAGAGAAACTACTTACCAGTTAGCACTACCTGAGGGTTCATTATTAACTAAACCAATATTCACCGTGTTTCTTGTTTCCGCTCACTTTCCTGCACTATCCACATGAAAACTTACCTGCTATTTTCATTTTTCTAGGCTTGTCACTGAGGGAGAGCTTTGCTGTTCTTCACCTTTTTTTTTTTTGTTTTCTTACTTAGACACAACGTATTCATTATTACAAGAGCCGGAAAGAGAGCCTGTTCTTTTCTATTATTTATCTGTGACTCTGCTTGCCTGGATTTTTACGGTTATTGTTATCAAACTTGATGGTTATTTTTGTCTCAGGTGCCATAGGTCACTCTAATTTACGTTCTCCATATATCTTTGCGAGAAGATAATTCCAGCAATGTAGTAGCTCACAGAGAAAATTAAAAACAAATCAATTGAGCCCCTGATAAATGGACGAGAGTGTTGCACGGAATGCAATTTTACATCTCAGTGTCACAACTCGAGCGGAGGACGGAAGCCCCAAAGGACCAGTTTTGCTTCCTTTAAGCACGTTTGTCCCAAGAAAACCAACATACTCCCTGTTTAGGAACTGCTCAACTCCCCTTCCCCAATGTCCACCTCGGCACGTTTCGGGACTGAGGAGCCAGATGGAAAAGGATCAGAGAGTAAACAAGGGTTCTTCAGTGATGCAGGGAAAGCAGCCCTTTCCTAGGCAGCCGTCAGTTCCTGAGTTTGACGTAATTATTACGGAAGGGGAACCGGCGGAGCAAGCCAGCACTGCCTTCAGGGTACAGGGCAGGATCTCTCCAGTGCAGGTTTAGGGTGTCCCCCGCCCTGCACATGGAACTTGACTTTCTTCCAGGGCAAGGAATCGGGGGGAATTGCTAAAGCAGATCTGCTATGAGAATGTGGGCTCAACAGCAGTTCACCTCACATAGGACAAAGTTAATTATTCTAGCAAAGGGCATATACGTTTTCAAAAATACTTATTTTCAGTTGAAACGAACTTCATGTAATGTTTATGACCTTATTAGTGCCCTTCCTATCAACTGAAAAACTGCCTTTGGAGACAAATGAGAGAAGAAAGAGAAAGTGGAAGAGTCTGATCCTATTTCAATAGAAGCAAGAAATTAGATGTTTGGGCTTTTTTTTCTCCCCACCAAAAGCAGAAAATTGTTTACACTCAGTAGGGAAAATACCCTCTTCTCATGTTTGTTTCTGAAGATTCTTTAAAAGTCTGCACCAGCTGACCCTTGGGCATTTTCCTAAGCCTTCGCTCCCCTTCACTGTGCGAGCTGTTAGGCTAGAAGCTCTTCTAAACCAGCTCTGAACAGAGGAGGGTTGTAAGTGCATTCAAAGTGCCAGGCTTTCCAACGACAGCTTCAGATAACCTGGAGAGGTGGAGACGGGAGGGAAAACACCAGGAAACAGGTGCAGCCATGAGTTCACGACTGTTTCAGGTGAGTGATGGGTACATGGGATTCATTACACTGTTTTCTCTATTTGTACATACAGCTGGCCCTTGTACAACATGGGTTTGAACTGCAAGGGTCCACTGATGCGCAGACTTTTTTTAAACAAATACCTGTGCAGTTTTCAATCTGTGGATGCGGAGGGCTGACTGTATGTGATGATCTACACCATTTTATAGAGGGGACTTGAGACTCCACAGATTTCGATATTCATGGCGGTTCCTAGAACCAATTCCCGTGGAAACCAAGGAACAAATTATGTATCTGAGGAGTTAGAATTATATGCCGATTTTTGACAGTGTGGGGGTATCCCTAACCCCCGTATCGTTCAAGGGTCAACTACGTACTATATATCTTTATTCATTTTTAATTTAATTTAATTTAATTTTTTTTTTATCCTCACCCGAGGACATTTTTCCATTTTTGTTCAGACAGAGTGGGAGGGAGAGAGAGGAACAGAGAGAGAGAGAGAAACATCGATGTGCAAGAGACACATCGAGTGGCCCTTCCTGCACAACCCCAACTGGGGCCAGGGACAAATTGCAGCTGAGGTACGTGCCCTTAGCGGGAACCGAACCCAGGTCTCTCTGGACCACGGGCGGAGACTCTAACCGCTGAGCAAAACCGGCCAGGGCGCATACTATATATCTTTAAAGATAAATTTTATATTTACATTTTGCTTTTCAGTTAAGAGAAAGGTGTGAGGTCCCACTGGAAAGAAGAGTAATACTCTAATGCAACCTGCTGCATTTCCAACCCTAAGACATAACTTCATGTGACATTTGAGTTCATTCCCATTGGGCTGCTAATATTCATTCTAAACAGCAATTTAATTTTACTACTATAATCTACCCCCCACACACACATGCGCACACATACACGCATGTACATGGGTCACAGTTTTCATATATGAGACACAGGCATGTATAAATTCATATAAAGACTGAAATGAATTGTTTTGCAGACTAAGCCCTTGGACAACCACACATTCATTGACACTGTGATAAGAAGCACTGGACGGCGAGAGCCAGCATTAGTTCAAGCACCAACGCTACTTAACTCCCTTATTCTAGTGTGGTCCTTGGTTTGGCTGGTGCCGGCTTACCTGGGAGAGATTGAATGTAGCAACAGTGCTGTCATCATATAGGAGAATATTAATAGTGTCCAAAGCCCAAGTACTTTCAGCCAAAAGACCTGACTTCAGGGACATCATCACGCGCCACGCCTCCGGAGTAACTACAAATGGGGAAAAGAACAAGGACGTGATTAATATGAACCACATGAAAGAACAGAAAATAACAGAAGGATGAGAGGAAAGAAGTGGAGTGTTAAGTACTGATTTTAAGTAAATATCCGAGGGACTGTTAAACATGATCACTTCCAGATCTGAAATGAGGCGATAGCTGTACTAAGACACGTGGGTCTGGAAGCTCTTTGCTCTGCTGGCTGAACACGAGCCGATGTGCTTCTCCAGGTGGCAGAGGTCGAGCACACGGCTGTCTACTCCTACCGGCCTGACGCATCCGAGTTGCAATAACCGAGGTAAACCAAACTGCGCTATTTGTCTTTTTTGTCTGGTGCATTCACAAATGTCTCAGTGTGGCATCTGGGAAGGCTGGCAAATATGCAGAAGAAAAGCTAAAATTATTCACAAACAGCACCTCTCATGCCGTCCTCTTCCACTTCTGAGCTTTGACCCTCCGGACCTGCCGCTGACAAATACCAGCACTCTGACGACTCAGATTTGTCAAGAGCTTGGCCTGAGCCAGGGATGGGAAGCTGAGGGTCGCACATTTGTTTTCCCCACTCCTGTTCCTGAAGAAGCCAGAGGGATCGGAGAGAGCGTGTGCAGGGTTTGCATAGGCTGGGGCTTGGAAAAGAGGCCCATCAGCCTGTCGATTTCAGGGGCAGCCCACCCGGGAACCTGGTGCAGGAAAGTGGTGTGGGCGGAGCTGGACAGTCAGAACTCGCCATAGCGACCACCGCCACCAGGCGCCAACAGCAACCTCACGTTGGGAGGGGACAGTGGGTTTCCACCTGTGCTTTAAGTCCATCTACTTTTCCATTTTTCCAAGACAGACACCTAATATTTTTATCATAGAAAAAGCAAACTTCCTTTTTACAAGGAGGAATGTAAATTTCCCTAGGCTACAGACAAATATTGGTATGTGTACTAAGGAATTTTATAAAAATTTAAATATATTTATTTAAACATATGTACACACACACACACATACATATGCATATTCTTACATACATTTCCATATATGAAACGGTGCTCAGTGTCTGTATGTCTTGCTTACCTCCAGCATCCCCTCTGTATCTCTTTAATGTCCAATCACTGAACACGTCTTTAATATTTTTCTAATTACTGCAAATGATTTCATGTCAAGTGATTCTGACATTTTGGAAAATAATTTTTCAGTATAGTCAAGATCTTTAATTCCCTTTGCTATACTTCAAAAAAAAAATAATGCAGAAAAACTGTGTGTGCTCCCCGAGAGTCCGATACCTCACTGGTCTTCAGCTCGTCCCCAGGACACACAAGCACCACTGGGCACAGAAGCAGCTCCTGGCCTGGACCTAACGGTGCCGTCCATTTAATCAATTCTGCAGATCACACCACCCCCGTCTACCTACATACAGGCAGGGCTCCACTTCCTCCCGTGGAAACCCACCGTCTGTGTTGTTACCAAAGTCACGGAGTGGCTTTGTCTCAGAGAGTAAGTGCTGGTTCAGGTCCAGTCTTGCAGCCCAAGGCGGAGCCCCCAGCCCCTGGGGCGCCCTGGCTTCTCACCTGGAGCCACCTCCCACACAGGTGACACCAGGTGGAAGGCCACCCCTGCAGCACAGCTTTGGCGCTGCTTCCAATTCGCATTAGTGCGCTATCGGCAACCATGGCCCCTGCTGTGAGACCGACAGGCACTCGTCTGAACTGGACAGAAAGCGAGCCACAGGGGGTGTTGCGGGAGCAGCTGGGGATGCTTACCGATGTCCTTTGAGGTAATCTTCCGCCTTTGTTTCAAGACTGGCTGAGACGCTTCCACCGAGCCGGGAGGGAAGGTGATCTCCCTTCTGATGGGGGGCGGCTGGGGCGGCGGCCCCGTGACCTGGGGCGTGGGGACGGCAGGCATGCCCTTCTGCATCTTCATGGAGGGCAGGAAGGGGGACTTGCTGGGAGACATGCGGCTCTCCAGGGAGCGCGGGAAGGCGGCGGGGCTGGGCGCTCTGGAGATGTGGTTTGGCAGTGAGGGCGGCGTCTGGTAGGACGACGGGGGCGGGCGCGTGATGGGCTGCATGGAGGCGGAGGAGGGCATGTAAGGCTGACGTTGGCTGACGTGAGAAGGCCACTGGCTCTCGTGATTTATCCTCTGATCAGGGACCATCATGTCATCCGTGCGGTTCATGCCCGGATAAGGAGGCGCCTGCGCAGGGCCGCCGGGGCCTTGCCTGTTGGGGTAGGGGTAAGGCATATCATTCCGGGTCGCCCACATGCTCTGCTGAGGCCCTTCGCTGGAGGCGGCCTGCATGGGGCCGCCCATCATCTGAGGGGGGAGCCCGTGCGGCTGCATCTGGCCCGGGCCCTGCATCCTCTCTCTGCTGTAGGGGTACGGGTACTGGCCCTGGATGGGCCTGCGGTCCGGCCCGGAGTAGGAGCCCCCGTACTGGTTGTACATGTCTTGCTGCTGGCTGCCGTACTGCACGCTGTACATGTCCGCCTCGTGGCGCTTGGCGGGAGGCCCGTACATGCCGTCCATGTGGCGCTTGTAGTTCTGAAATTCAGAGACAGATCCACGGATGTGCTTTTACAGGGGTAATCACACACCACAATCATGCAGAACAGTCACTCCTTGGTGGGAGTTCGTTCCGAGACGGACATGGGGAGCTCCTGCCACAACTAAGGACTAGCCACCCATGTCTTCTATTTCAGCGTCGGTGCCACCATGCCACACGCCCAGGGAGGGCTTCCCACGTTTATTTCCATGTGCTTGGAACTGCTCGTGGGAAAAAGAAGCCCCTGGGCTGCAGTACTGGGGGTATGGCTTGCTGACCGCCACACAGGCGGGGCTGGAGAGGGTGGCAGGAAAAATCTCCCCAGCATGGACTGAGCGTTCTAAGAGCCAACCCGAGAGGTGCCTGGATCAAACAGACTCCTTAGGCCTAACTTTACAGAAGGGCCTTCACAAAGGATCTAGCTCCTCAGACTGGACCCGTGCTACCCTGACACCCGACATTCCATGGCCTGCACCCCAACTTCCAGCCTGTCCAGGTCACACTCTCCCATGAGCCCTGCAGCCCCTGGCCTCTGAGGACAGGGCTGGGGGCAGCCCCACTAAGTTCTCCTCTTGGGGACACTAAGGGGACCAGCGGCGATCAGGTGGGACTCTCCTGATGGGCCGAGTGAGTGATGTTGGCATGTGAATCAGTGTTCTTTCACGATCAGCTGATTTAATGATACAATTCACTGTGCACACACGCACCAGTAAGATCCAGCGCGGTCTAAAAGCCCGTTTGCAGCAGGCCTTGGACCTAACGCTGTTAGAAACGCTTCCTGTGCCTGAAAAGTCCCAGCCTGACATGCAGTCCCCCCCCCAAACCTACCCGGGAGTCAAGTGCACTGTTGTCAATGTCTGACTTCTAAAAAGCCAGTTAATGTTCACTCAGTAGTAGATAATATTTTAAATTGTCCCCCCCCCCCACATGTCCTCTTTAAAACATATTCACAAACTTCTGGTCTAAAATGGCACTTGATATGGTAGAATACACAACAGACATGTTTAAAGTATACTTAAGTTGGGTTTCTTATCGACAAGGATGAATGTCCTTAGCCTCTTACAACGTGTTATGTTTGTTTCTGGATACCATCTATCAAGAGTTATTTCTAATTTGCATACTTCAAAACCCTGAGACTGTTTTCTAGCATAAACAGATACATGGTGATTGCTCAGTAAGTGCGCGTCAGCAGTGACACAGGTGTGGGTTAAGCAGGAGGCAGAGGCGCGGCCCCCCGCCCACTCACCGGCTGCTGTGGATACAGGCCAGGCTGGTGTCCTCCATACGGCGGCTGTCCTGAGGGAGGGCCTTGGCCTGGGTACTGCTGCCCGTAGGGTTCATGCCTGGAACAAGGCGTTCAAAGAAAACTTCATTTACAACAGCTCTCCTTCCCTTCACTCACACGCCGCCCGGCCGTCTGAGCAGCTGCAGACTGTAACCTTTAGCAAAGGGATGGGAACGCCCATTTCGGGAGTGCTGCCAATCTCCTGGTTGGGTGTGAGGAGTCCCAGCTGGCGGGGCAGCGCCCTCTGCCTTTGAGTCGAGGCCCCGCCCACCCTGACTTGTCCTGGGAGCCCACACAGGACTGTGATGTGGGCATTAACGGAAGCAAGAACCACACCCAGGACTCTCTGGTCTGTGGGCCAATGCTCTGACCGCTGAGCCAAACCGGTCAGGGCGGGAACACACATTCTTAAAGGGACCAGAGCAAATATACTTTTCTGTTTCTTCTAGAATGCTTTCTAGAACGCTGTGCAGTTCGTCCCCGGCCCTGGCTGGGGTCATGTGGGTGGCAACCAGTCAATGTGTCTCTCACATCGATGTTTTTCTCTCTCTCTTCCTCCCTCTCTCCCTCCTGGCTCTATCTGAAGATAAAGGCAAAAAAAAAAAGAATGTATGTTCCAGAACAACTGTTCTGAGCTCATCAGCCAAAACACAAACACACACACACACACACACACACACACACCAGCTTTGCCTGGACCCTCAAAAACAAACCAAATCTAGGGAAAATCCTTGATTCTGTCCACTAAACATCACTCAATGATCAGCTGATTAATGCAGATATTACACTAAACACTGAGCTTCCCCGGGGTAAAGGATCCCTAGTCTAGGGTTAAGTCTCGTCGGGAAAGCATCCTCCACTTTGACCAGGTGACGGCTGTGGATCTCAAGCTCCAGGCTTGCACCATTCCCCGGGTGCTGAACCAGGGACAGCTCCTCACTGCCCACCTGTTCCAGGACCCACAGGGGGCTCAGGGCTGCCTGGCCCACTGTCCGGGGCGGGACAGCTGGAGAAAGAGCTCGTTTCCCCTAACTCGCCAGCGCTGCAGGAACACGGGTCAGCGCGCACCTCTCGGGGCGGCACGGACACCGCACTGAGGGGGGCTTCTGTGGTAAGCATGGAGATGGGCCACGGGCCACCCTCACGCTGTTCTAGGAGACCCTGCGATGACTCCCCTCTTGTAAAACGAAAACCCGGAGCAGCTCTGCAACGTCCGTTTACTGTCGGGGTGCCGTCCTGAAAAGGAGCTGCCATGAAGCTGGGCCTGGCTTTCCTCGGAAGGGTGCATTACGAAATGTCCAGGGAAGAGTGGAAACGTTGAAAGAAAACGTCTGGAAGGGCTTCCCGAGAGCTCACGACAACCGTGTCTGCGGGAGTGCGGCGTGGCCACCACAGACCTGCCCTCAGGACATGCAGGCGGAGGGAGACCGTGCGGACACCCAGGAAGATCACAAGACGAGGCGTGCGTGGAAGCTGGGGTCAGGGTCAGCGGAGCGCCAGACAGCACTGAGTGCCGGGAGGACCGCTGCTATGTGGGACATCCCTGTCTCGGGGAACGGTCCTGGCCTTGAGTTTCAGGAGAGGACTTGCCATTGCAGCCCAGCCCAGCGCCAGTCTAACTTAGGCTTCTGGGCATCTGCTGACAGCAAGTGCAGCTGAACTTGGCTCCTGGGGACAAGGTCCTTCTCCCTCTGGGCCCGTTACAGCCGCACACCGAGGGCAGGACCTGCCCCTCACAGCCCCATGAACTCCTGCAGGAACGCGGACACCGTGCGTTACATGGCCACCAGGGCTCAGGAGCACGGGCTGGGAGGGGAGCAGTTTCTAGCGAATGGTTCCGCGCTCGCCCGAGGGGCACTCACCTCCGATCGTAGGTGGTTCCGTAGGGAAACTGCTGCCGCTGCGCCACGCCCAGGCCGTACATGTCCTGCGTGCTGCCGGTGGGCGTCGGCCCCTGCGCCATGAAGGGCTCGCCGCCGCCAGGCACTGCGGGGCGGTAAACAGACCAGTCAGCGTTTGCAACAGCAAAGTCCCTTTCTAGTCCCTTGTTACTGTTAACATGGCAGATGTAGCTCACCCTCAATATGGCTGGCGACAGTATGAATGAGAGCGTAAGGTGTATAGTCAAGATGGGTCCTTTGGGGCAGAATCCTGAGATGGACCCCAGAGGCCCCCACCCCATGTGCACACCTGCATGGTCCCTCCCTGAGAGTGGGCAGAACCCCTGAATATGATGGGATGCTGCTCCCACGGCTGTTACCTCGCATGGCAAAGGGATTTCACAGATGTAACTAGAGTTACTCATCAGCTGACTGGGAGTTAACCAAGACTGTCCAGGTGCGCCCTTTAAAGCGCATCTCAAGGTCAGAGACAGACCAAGTCAGAGGTGCCCTCCTGCTGGTCTTGAAGCAGCACCTGCCTTGCCGGGAGAGGGCCAAGTATGAGAACAGCCAGCAGCCTCTGGGGGCTGCCAAGACCCCCAGACGACAGTCAACAAGACACCTCCGTCCACAGCTTAAGGAACCACGTCCTGCCAACAGCCCCAGGGAGCTCAGAGGATCCGAGCCTCAGAGAAGACCCACCCGGCTGACACCGCGATGCTCGCCGTGTGAGCCCGAGCTGAGACCCGCGGGGGCTGTGAGGTCATTCGTTTATGCTGTTCTAAGCTGCTCTATTTGTGGTAATTTGCTATGCAGGAATATTGAAAATAAACACAGTCCCAGGCCCTTGGTGAGTCAGTACTCTGAGTTTACCCCCTCGTCTAGAAACACGGCTGGTGAGAGAGATGGAGCAATTACAAAGGCCGTTCCTGGCCCTGACGGGGACCCGACGGGACAGCAGGGCCTTGATGACCCACTCCAGTCAGGACCGAGAACCTCACCAGGGAGTCAGAACAGCTCCAGAATGGATGAGATACACTATTTCTATCGGAGTAGAGTGGCAATTAGGTCAACTATGCAAATTAGCATCAGCTCAGAGCCTGAAGGAAACTGGGTCAAGCCCAGAAACTAGCCTACAGGCAAATTAAACATTTTAATGCAAATCTTAATTGATATATAGTACTACTGCCTTCTTCATCCCGTGAAGGTTACTTTTATCTTACATGGTAAAAAGCTGATTACACTTTGTGAGCTGATGGATGTGAGGCTGGCGGCAGGAGCCAGCGAGGAGGCTGGGCTGCAGGAAGGTGCTGTCTGCCCTGTGCTTTCACACACTTCATCTTATTTGCTCTCCATCAGCCCCAGGAGAACCAGTTTTGATGTTATTTTTCGTTTTATAGATGTAAAAACAGAGACAGAAATTAAGGGGGATAATTAAAGTTAAATGGCTTAATTTCCTAATATACAAATAGATCTTAAAAATCAATAAAAAAAAATCAAATGAAAAAATGGGCAAACACATGAATGGACATTCACAGCAGAGGAGAAATGCATGGAAAGGTGCGTGGCCTCGCTAACAATGAAGAAATCCAGGCTAAAACATTGTGCGGCCGTCCCCTTCCCACTCTGCCCGCGAATGCGGAAAGACGGGCAGCATGGTTCTCCGCGCGAGTGAGGCCCATGCCCGCCCGCACGCCCGCGCTAAGGGTGCTCAGTGGCATGTGTTGCCAGTTCTGCTCAAGTCGACTGTGCTTGGGCGCCTCCCTACAGAGCGCATTTCCAGGGAGTCACACTGGTGAACTCCCCTCCCACAGTGAGACTGGGCTTCGACCGGCTCTGACCAGCAGGCCACTGGCAAATATGAAGCAGTAGAGGCTTGCAGGCACTTGTCATCCAGGAGCGCCCCTTCCTGAGACCCACCCAGAGCCATGCAGTGCCCAAGAAGCTCCACGGAGGCCCCCAGCCAAGTTCCCGGAACAGCCGCTGCTGCTTCATATCGACATCCCAGCCCCAGGAGCGCTCTAACTGGGCAACTGGGGTCCCAGCTGACACCACAGGGAGCAAAGAACCACTCCACCCACCACAGAACTGTCCCAGCACAGCAGGCAGACAGGCGGGGCCACAGCTCTGAGTCTCAGACTAGGCTCCTTTATCCTCTGTCCCTCCTCTCAGTGGGGCAACAGGACAAAGGGTGGGGTGTCCGTTGATGTTGGTCATTAAATAAAAAAATCAGAGTGCCACCAAGTTCACTCACAGAACAAGGTGGACGGAGGAATGCAAAACTTGACTGTAACAGGGCAGGGCTGTGGGGACGTCTGTCTCCTGGGGGTTTTCTGTTCACCTACTTTAATTTGGTACTAAATGCACCAGTAGTACAAAGGAGCAAGTGAGTGGAAGTCTACGGGAAGATGTGAGATGGGCCTTCCTTCTGAGCAGCTGTGTCACTTACACGGGCGATGAGCACGAGGTACACAGCCCCCCGCTGCTGGCAAGGTCAGCCACGGGCACCCACCCTCCGCAGCGGAAAGCGTGGAGGCACAGGCAACAGAGGACACACCCCCTCGCAGTCTAACAGCAGGCGAGTGGGGACTGGAACGGCGCACAGTAACTTTGAAGCCAGATACTAATTGGTATTGTCATATTTTCAAAGTCTAAAAATGTGATACAGCCACCAAGAGCACTAACAAAATGTTCTCTCTAATACCTCATACCACTAAGGAAAACAGCTACCTCTGACATTCACAAAGCTTCTGAATTTCTGAGTTTACAGATTTATTGTATGTTCTGCAAGATCTTTACTTGGAATAAGCAGCTCTGAAGCATGGAAAGAAAAAGTAAAGATTATCTTGCTTTATGTAAAAGATAAATCTGAAACATTACACTATATAAAATATATTTTGTGGTTTAATTTGCTTTCTGTTGATTCCTTCCAAGAGACCGTGGACTCCAAGAGGCGGTAGGCCTGGTCTGCGGCTACGCTCCCCAGCACCCAGCCCCGTGCCCACCGCGCTCTGTGCCCACCACTGCGCCGCTGCTGGGCTTGCTCACGGTGCAGTCGTTCCTCAGTGGCCTCTGTGGGCACTGACTCATCAACACTCCCAACGCCCTTCATGCAGGTCCTGCCACGGCCCCAACTTCTAGAAGAGGAAATGGAGGCGCAGAGATGCTGAGCACTCTCCCCAGGCTGGAAGTTCAGGAAGTGGGAGCGGGGACTCAAATACGCCTCGAACGTGTAAGTGAACTGGTTGCAGGTCGGTGGGGAGAAGAACGCCCTGTGGACCACGCCTGCGCTGAGCTGCCCCCACATTCACCTTTTCTCATTCCTCCGAAGGGGTCCTTGTTGGGCTCATAGGGCACCCTGCCCATCACGTCCGGCATGCCCATGCCCTGCTGGTACGGGGCGCTCGGAGTCATGGAGTTCCGTTTGGGGAACGATGAATCACCCGCGTCCGAGAATGGGTCATGCACACTGACAGTACTGCTTCTGGGGAGATGAGAAAGATTAGAGCTAATGACATAGCAGGAGGTGTGTTACTTCAAATGATTCAGAAAACAAGCTAATCTTGAAATCTATAAATGTAAAAAACTACCCAGAATAAATGACATGAATAAAACTAGTAGTAATCAACATTTAAGAGCTCACTAGGGAACACCATTTTCTCTACAAGATTTGCCTCAGAAAATTAACATAGACCAGCCTGATTCTGTATGGCGCACAGTTCTCTTAACGTACCTTCCACCTTGCATTGGGGTCATCTGTCCATGAGGGGTGGAGGCTGGAGTAGGTGGCTTCAGGTCACCAGGAACCTCGGCCATCGAGTTACTGCCAGTTGATTGGGGGGTCTGTGGACCTTGCAAGGATCCTGAATTAGCTGATGGTAGTAAGTACCAAGAGAAAATGAGGGAAAAACCAGGTTACTAAAGTAAGCTCATCCTTGCTAGTTATGAAAAACAAAAAGGAAAAGAAAACAAGATACTATCTTATTAGAAATAGTAACACTATCCATCGCCGGTAACGCTGTAGTAAAATTAGTTGCTCTTCCTTTTTTATAGATAATAGTTTCAGGTGTACAATATAGTAATTTGATATTTGTATCTACTGCAAAATGATCACCACAGTAAATCTAGTTAACATCCTTCACTATACATAGTTATACATTTTTTTCTTGTAACGAGAACTACTCTTACATGTTATTTGTAGTGAAAATCAGTAAAAGGTTTTTTTTTCTTTTAGTAAACTCGTTGGAAACATACTTCATGTGTGAGTCATAAATCATAGTTAGACTTTTTGACTGGGTAATGACTTCCCTGGGTATTGATCCCAATGAAATAATCTAATTAAAGGAGATTTTAGGCAGAAAAATGTTTATTTCAGTGTTGTTTATAATGCAGATAATTTAAATGTCTGAGAATGATAAAAAAATGGGATGAAAATTTTGGTGTATCAATTTGATGGACTATTGTGCTGTTTTAGAAAAAAATTAGAAAAATTAGTTCTCATCTTAGGCAATAAAAAATGTTTAAGTTGAAAAGCAATGATACAAAATGATAATGGGCCTTATATCATATTTCAATAATTTCTCAATGTCTAAATGTGTCTACACTCTGTCTTTAGCAGTGATTTTTGGAGCTATGAGATCAGATTTGTTACTACAAAACAGTGTGGTTTGGAGTTTTTTACTGTCACTGTCAGTTCTAAGACTTGGCTTTAACTATAATTACATTCTAATAACAGAGCTCAGAATTGAGCAGATCTTTTCAAAACTTAAGCAGGAATCTTGAAAAAATTAACATCACCTTATAGGAAAAACAGTATTTTATTTTAAAATATTTTTTCTGTATTGATTTTATTTATTTTTTTCTCCATTTTTTGTTCAGATATAGTGGGAGGGAAAGAGAGGAAGAGGGAGACATCAAAGTGAAAGGGACACATCAAGTGGCTGCCACCCGCACGACCAACCAGGGCCGGGGACAAACTGCAACCGAGGTAGGCGTCCTTAGCGGGAACCAAACCCGGGTCTCTATGGACCACAGGCCGACACTCTAACCACTGAGCCAAACCGGCCAGGGCTCTGTACTGATTTCAGAGAGAGAGGAAGGGAGAAGGAGAGAAAGATAGAAACATCGATCGGCCGCCTCCTGCATGCCCCCCACTGGGGATCGGGCCCACAACCTGGGCATGTGCCCTGATAGGGAATCGAACCGGTGACCTCTTGGTGCATGGGTCGATGCTCAGCCAGGCCCGGAAAAACAGTATTTTAAGGACTCCTGCTTTATCACTGATCACAGTCCTTAGCACATTAGGTGTTCAATAGATACTGGTTTCATGGATTACGTACTTATTCAATAAAGAAAGGGAGTGCTCTATTGTGGGCTCTTTTTTATGCCTGGATTCCACCAGTGTACTGAACTGAGAAGACAAACATCCCTGCCCTCATGCAGTTTACAGTAAACACTTTCAGAACCGTAACAAAGGGCAGAATTACTGGCTGCTTGTAAATAATAACACTGTACGTTATTATCTATATGTTAATGTGTATGTTATATCTATAGTTCCTTTCCTATGCACTTCCCAAGGCTCACGACAGTGACCATTCACGTTTCACTTTAGAGGAAACGGGGTTCACTGGTCACTACAGCGTAGAGTCGCCATAAAGGTGTCAGAATCGGCAAGGGGCCTAGCACGCCTCTCATTCAGCCTCAGCTGTCCAGCCCACCCGCGAGCTCAGGCCACCAGGCCCGCCTGGCCAGGGGTCAGTACTGACGCAGGACAACAGGGCTGTGTGTCCTGTCCAGTGTCTCTCCTGGCTACACAGGGCTAGTGTGACTTGGGGAGGTTCTCAGAGACGCTGGGAAGACTTATTTTTAATGTATCTTTTTAGATGTAGATACTTTTTTTTTTTTTTAAATCCTCACCTGAGAATATTTTTCTATTTATTTTCAGATAGAGTGGGAGGGAGAGAGAGAGCGAGAAAGGGAGAGGAAGAAACATTGATGTGAGAGGAACACACAGACTGGTTGCCTCCCGCACAACCCTGACCAGGGCTGGGATGAACCGCAACCAAGGTACATGCCCTTGGCCGGAATCGAACCCGAGACTCATTGGTCTGCGGGCCAATACTCTACTGCTGAGCCAAACCGGCCAGGGCTAGATGTAGATATCTTTAAAAAAAACCAAAAAACGACGACTTACTAACTCATGCTTATAAATCGAATGTTGGTGAGACCCTGGAAATGAATACCTAAAATGTAATAACAGAAACGCAGAGCCTCCTACAAACACGTGAGATGGCCCAGCAGGCACGAGCGGGAGGCGGGGCTGGCGTTCTGCACGGGGCGCGCTGCCCGGCAGTACGCAGCTTCCTTGGAAACATGGCTCACGAGGCTTGATTTCAGAATGACCCTTATTTACAAGTATTCACATTTACAGCTCATAAAAAAAGGGGGAAAATTCTTCTCTCTTGCCAGAGTTTCTTCCTTTCCTTTCAGGAAAAAAATGAATGCAACCTCTTGAAGCTCCATTAATAACAGAGGCCGGCACACTCTCTAGGATGTCCCTACCTTTTGCCAGAAGCTACAAATGTATACTCGAAAGTAAACAATGGAAAGGTTACTGAAGGATAAGTACATTCACACACTTCAGACTGTGCAGCCAGACTCCTGGCTGGGAAGGTAATTTACACAGCATGAACCGGGCCCTGCTCCTGGCTGGGGTTGCAGGAAGCAGGGTGGGAGAAGGAAGAACAGCTGATCTGCCCAGGTCTGCAGTGCTAGGTCACTCAGAGGGCACCTTTGTTTATAACCTGAGCCCCTTCTCGTTTATCTTCCACTGAGGATTCCCTGGTTGGACCCGTGACAAGTTTTGTGACATCACCTGTCAGCTAACAGAAAAGCAGCCAGCCCCTGCCAGCAAAGAGGGTGGGTTTTTGGTTACAGGCTCCCCTAACTGAATGTGGAACTTCCTTGTCCCGCCCTCCCCTGCCCCTCCCACCCCCGCCCCCCACTGTGTGCAGGCAGCCCAGCCCGCCGAGTTCACCAGGAGTCCACAGCACTCACAGCTGCATTTCGATGCGAGCCCCACGCCTGAAAGGGCCTGCACAAGGCCCTGTCCGGGTTTCATGGGGGGGGGGGGACTCTTCAGCTGACTGGCCCACTGGGGCAACCTGATCTTAGTGGGGAACCACAGGCCTGGGGGTGACACCTCCCAGGGCTGACAGGGTTGAGTTTCAGGTCCGTACCAGCCACATAACATCCAAACTGGAGTTCAGACGACGACTCAGAATGCTCTGAATACAGCCAAACGACAGAGGGTGGGAGCTGGTTCAGTGTCCACTTAAACAAATAATCTAGACTGTGCCTTAGGAATCTTTTAATTGAGTTTGCCTGGATGTGCTGGTCAGGAATAAACTACAAGTATGTGCCCATGGGAAGCTGACTTCAAAGAACACACATTGTGGCTGCAAATTAGTTCTTAGAAATGTTGTGTGTGAGAACCTGACATGGCGAATTGCTGACAATGATTCTCCTGTTTTGACGATCAACACGCTCAGAGACCAGTTCCGCAGTGACGGTTCCGGAGCCAGAGGGGACCCTGGCCCTGGGTGCTGGGAAAGCACTGGCCCCTTCCTGGCTGCGGGCTGACTGAGTCCCCGCCCCAACGGCCGCGCCTGTCTGTCTGTCTTGCTGAGAAGTCTGTCTGCAGCAGGGCACAGAACAGCCAGGACGAGCGGATGCGGCAGGGAGCCCAGGGAGCCCTCCTCCGCTGCCTGCTGCCAGGGCCGAGCCTGTGGACACTGGAAGGACAGACTGCCTGAAGCACACCTGCAACCCAAGCTCTTTGGCGCAGCTAGAACGGCACTGCTGCCATAAGAAGGCAGTTTGAGAAAGAGAGAAAGGCCGAGCTGGCTGTTAGAACAGGCCGAGCTTTCTGAGGGGCCTGCCTCCGCGGGCCTGTGCTGAAGCCCCGCACCCCGGGAGGACTGTTCTCCGCACACCAGTGCAGGCCATTCGGTGACTCGAGTTCTTTCTTGGTGAATAAAATGCACCTTTAGATCTTTGCAGACATCGCCACTTTGGTCCCTATGCCCCACTGGGTTTTTATTTTGGAAAAATAGTTTCAGAACTGTTCCTAGGCAGCTTGTTTTACTCTGTGAATATAATGTTGAGAGTTTAAAAATTAGTTTCCCAGTTTTTCAGGGACACCGCCACTGGCAAAGCTTTGGGTCTTCCGGGGGGGGGGGGCGGTGAGAGGAGGGTTTCCCCTTGTACTTAGAAATGAGAGGTCTGTGCCTAAGTATTCACACCACGGCCCTTGACTAGCGACCCTAGGCGTCAGCACTGCCACCCAGGGAGCAGCTGAATGCAGAGAGAACATTTCTTTCTTCGGTTCACAGATGCTATGTCCTGTGTACCAACACTCTGCCCATCATGACGGTGTTTCAGATACAGGAGGCAAGGGTCCCACTCTCCCACCCACTGTCGCTGTGGCGCTGGGTCAGTTACTTAGACTCTGCCTTAGTTGCTGATGTATTTTTAAGACAGCCTCTTGTCCGAGGTCTGACGTGAAGACAAAACGATCAAGCACGCAGAACGGCGCCTGGCACGCTGTGATTGTGAGTGCCCGGGACACACTGGCAATTAGCTCTGTGATTTCACCCCAGAGCACGCCGTGCGACAGGAAGTGCAGGCAGGGCAGAGGGGTAAGTAATGACCATCCCAGGGCTGAATCAGACAAGGAACAGCCAAACTGAACTTGAGAGAGGTTGCCACCTAGAACAGAGATGACGCAAATTTCTTCTCGTCTCTAATATTGCACTTATCAGAACAGAACGATATAGTAACTTCACATTTGAAACACCAACAGGCAGAATGAGGGCTGGCAGGAGCTGAGAGAATTCAGGGTCACCAGCAGGTCAGTGGAGAGACAGGAGAGGCAGGAATCAACCTGGATTTGTGTGCGACAGTTAGGTGACCAGCGAGCCGCTCTTCCTCACACTCCTGACCTCCGGGTCAAAGCTAACTGGACTGCTCTGTCTCTGTCACGACCGTCTGCTGAATTCCCTGCAAGTGAGGACCTGCTGGGCAGGGGCATTAAGAACAAGTCCAGACTCCAGTGCAAGCCTGAGAGTTCCTCAGGGGCCCGCAGGTGGAAGCTGCCTGTCAAACTGCAGGGCGGGACTCTCCAGGGGTGCAAACCACTAGCACAGCTTCCTGGAGTGGCTATGTTGCCAGAGTTAGGTGGACTATTTCAAAATACGTGTACAGGGAATAAAGAAAGGTATGTAGCTCAGAATTCCAGTCTACTCTGACCAAAAAAGGTAAAGCTAAAGAGTGGAACTTTCAAAGTGCTGACCGGAAAGGACACTGGGCCCAGCTGTAGTCTCTCTTCCCCCGAACACTGCCAGTGGGGCCCGATTAAACAGACAAGACAGACGCCCCTTCCTCTGCTTGCCTGGCGAGGCTGCAATGCTCGCACTTACCAGGAGATGGCGGCTGCAGCTTGGGCTGCTTCTTGGTCTCCCCGGTGCTGAAGAGCTCTGGTGGGGGCTCCTCCCCGCGCTCGATCTTGCACTCGAAGGCGAACAGGTACTGGATGTACTGCTTTTTCAGGGAGCTCGCCGCACTGCTTGAAGTGCCAACGTTCAGGTTGGTTGCCAGCTCACGCCACTTCTTGTTTTTATTAACCTAGCAAAAAAAAAAAAAAGAAAAAAAAAAGAAAAAAAAAAGGCAGGATCATTGCTTTGCAGCAAAGTAGCTTGTTTAAAGCCAGGAGACAAAAAAAAGCACTTAATGTCTTGGTTTACTTTTTTTTCATTTGCCTCTTTTAACTAATGCTCATTACTCCCACTCAGTAGTGCAAAGCCAGCATTTACAGTTATAAAACCATTAAGGAACCTGCTGATAGCGACATAAAAGACACTGCTGGTCCGTACTCTTCCGCCTGGTGCATCTTCCAGGGCCTCGCCCCCTCCCAGAGCCGGTGAGCGCACAGCCAGCGATGAATCTTTGAGCAAACGCACCCTCTCTCACACTCGGCCCCATCCCACCTCTAATTTTAAAAAAAGACATCTAAAAATGAATTAAAAAGCAGTAACAGAACTATTTTGCAAGTTAAGTGTTTCAGCCTTGATAAGAAAAAGTGTTTCCTTCCAACAGTCACAAGCTCCCAGAAAGATGAGCCTGTACACCCAGCCACATCCCCCCACACACGAGGCCTTCTTGTGGTGCTGGGCAAGGCGAACACGGCCCCTGACCACAGGATCCCAACTCACATGCCCAGCACAAGCACGGGACCTGGCTGGGCTCGGCAATCCGCTGGCTGCCTGCAGGCAGGCACACTACCCGGGCTCCTGCTCCCACTCAGGCGGGAAAGATACAGTTGCAGACAGAAGAGAAACAAATAATCCTGCAATGTGAGGTAAGGGTCTTAGGCATTCTTTCAACCTTTTGATTCCCACTGGGGAACAGAGTTATGGAAGGTTAAGTACATGAATGAAACATGAAGACCTGTGAATACCAGGGATTATTTTGCTTTCACATGTGTCCTGTGTTCAACAGCATGGGTAAGGGTTAAGGGCACAAGTGGATTTCAAGGAAATGTTAAATTTTTGGATTCAAACTTTCTCACAAAGCTCTTTGTATCCATTTACTTAGTACTAAATGGTGCATGATAAACCGCACACGCTCACACAAGTGCTTAATACCACTCTTGGCGCCTAATACCAGCCTGCCAACAAGCAGGCCTGTGGATTGCTGCAAACATTAAGCAGAGGGCTGCCCAGGACACCCTGAAAAGCAAGGCGCTGAGCTGAGATGTGTTTGTCTGCAGCAGCCGCTCCAAGCACATCTGATGGTTACCAGACCGAGCCTGTGATGGGGTGTGAGCAACCCATGCCAAGCGCTCGCCACCGAACCACAGCTGCATCCGAGCAGCCCTCATCAGCTAGGCCAGTGGAGCCTCGCTGGCGACCCAGCGTGGTAACTCACAGCTGAGGGTGACACTTCTATGATGGTGACCCCCAGTTGTTTAGTATCCTGGGGACTCTAGAAAAGCCATGTGAGGGGTACAGGTGCAGAGGGGAGAGGCCGGAGGCCTAGTGCAGAGGGGACATGTGCCTCTCAGTTCTCCCCTGGCCGACCTGGAGTACAGTGCAATTTACCATCTTGAACCAACCTCTAATTGTTTCAACTGTAGGTCTCAGGTCCCTGGGGGGCGGGATGGGGCACCTCAGGAACAACAAAGGCCTCTCCTGCACCCCCAGAGTTGTACAGCACTGAGACCAGGTGAGACCTGTGGGTTAGACGATTTGCCCCTGGATGGTTTGTGACCTGTGCCACCCGGGTGGAATGCAGGTTGCCTCCCTGTGTATCAACCACCTGGAGCCCACGGTGGCTGCTTTCACTGATGGGGGGGGGGGGGGAGAGCCCAGGTATGACAGTTTAAAAAGCTCCGCAGGTGACTCGAATGCACAGCTAGGCCTGCGGGCCGCAGGTGATGGGGGAGCAGGTGTTTTGGAATCAGACCTGGCCCCAACACTGGCCCTGAGTTCCAGGGCCACAATACCATTGTTTCATTTCGTTACCGTTTCCTCGCCTCTTCTTTGGAGCTGATGACACCTGCATTTTATGGGGATTTAGAAAGGCCAAGGCAAGAGCAAATGTGAGGCCCAGCGCCCAGCACGCAGGGAGCACTGAGGTCAGGACCCTTCCCTGTCCCCGCTGCAGGGTTCATCCATACCAACCAGACTCTATACTCAAGGCAGGGCCAGGACTGGGCCAGGAAGTGGGCCCTGAGGACACAGCATTAAGGGCCTCGTGCTGAGGAAGGCCAGCCCAGGGCAGGCACCTGGCCCCTCTAGCGCCAGCCCTGCCCCTTGTGGCCCAGGTGTCAGAGACATGATGACTTTATGACTTAGCTTCCTTGATAAATTGCTCTGGACAGAGGGAAACAGGGAATCTGACTTACTTGATTGAGACAATTAATTTGGTCATTTGCAAAAACACTTCTGGAATATTTACTATGAAACCCTGGCAGATCCCACAGAACTCCAGAGAAGTCAGGGATCCTAAAGAAAAATTGAGCCCAGATGTCTCACTGAGCCCAGATGTCTCAGATAAGGGCTGAGGTCCAGATGAGGAACCTGCTGGGTTGCAAAGCCGAATCCCCAGCCCCACTCATCTCCCCTGCACGGGTCCCCGTAAGGTGCCTTTCTCCCAGGCTTTGCTTTTTTTCTTAATCCTCACCCGAGGACATTTTTCCATTTTGTTCAGATAGAGCAGGAGGGAGAGAGAGAGAAACATCGACGTGAAAGGGACACATCGAGTGGTTGCCACCTGCAAAACCAATCCAGGGCCGGGGACAAACTGCAACCGAGGTACGTGCCCTTAGCGGGAACCGAACCCGGGTCTCTCCAGACCACAGGCTGACGCTCTAACCGCTGAGCCAAACCGGCCAGGGCAGGCTTCGCTTTTTCATTGTGAGAAACCATCTGCGTCTATAGTCAAAGGAAGTTGCTGTCAGACCCGATCTAGAATGTCTCCTTGTCCGCTCGTCCATTCAGTCTTACCTGGGCCAAACCCCCAATCTCTTTGACGCAGACGTAGAGCCGGAACAGGTCCAGAGGCTTCTTGCCCACGGCAGGCAGACTTGAGACAGGGGAGCCTCTCTCTTCCATGAAGCTCAGGTAGCGGTCAACCCACAGCTTCCTCTCTGGCTCATTCCCCAACTCATACACCTTTGTGATCTTCTCCCCTGTGGTGGTGGACGAGCTGGACTTCTAGAGCCCAGAGGCAGCATGGGGGGGGGGATGGGTGTGCAGGGGAAAGGGAAGAAGGTGAGAAAAAGTAATGAGCTACCAAATACCAAAAGAGAAGAAGTCTTCAAAACTACTGCTATCACACAACAGTTAGGAATGAAGGCTACTAGTTCAGGCACAAACTATACATTTCTTAATTAAAAATTTACTTTGACTTTAAATAAAGGCCCAGACTCCCCCTTTTATACACTTAAAAACATAACCTCTTTTACTTTATTGATATAAGCGTTGAATCCCAGAAGGCAAGATTCCGATGATACCTCAAGTCATTTTTAAAAATAAAAGCGTATTAACTCACAAAATGATCACAATGAATTTAAAAATTTACATGAAATAGTACAGAGCCCCCCAAAAAACCTATATGGACTCTCCTTTTCCTTGTCAAAATAAGAATGGCTAATGTGTGTCTTCATTAAAAGTGCAAACCACATGGAGGAAGGGCAGACACAGGAACTTACTGGAGATAAAAGGGGGGCTACCCGTCCCAGGAGCCAGGTGCGGGCCCACGCGCGTCTGACAGCTTCAGGGACGCAGGCTGAAGCTCTGGCCCTGCCTCAGCATGGCCAGCTTCCCCTACCCACGCCGCCGCCTGCTTCTCTGCACGGTGAAGGGCTCTTCCTCATTTAAATACATTTCTTAGGTAACCATGCTTTCATCATGAGCACGTGCTATTTCATACTCCCCGCGTAGACGTAGGTAAATATAGATTTACCTTTATACGTGTGTCTACATACCCACATGGTTTAGACGAGTGCTCTAGTTCTTGGTTTATCCTTTTTCTAACTATACTTGATACAAAAATGTTGAAAGTTGCTCTTTCTGCACACCTGAAGCCTACTGTCTGAATGGAGTGATCTGGGAAGAGAACACTTTCGGTCCTAAACAGCCCAACTGTTTATCTTCCCTTCCTTTTATGTCTCTGTATTTATAACAATATTCATGTACTTGTAATATTTGCACCTCTGGGAGTCACTTCCAACTTCCCTATGAAGATTCCCTGGAACAGTCATTTACTTCATCTAGTCGCATTTATTTACTGTGCTATCATTTGCAACCTAGAGCCATTATTTAGATGGAATTTTTCTGAACTCTTCTTCACTACACTTAGTTTAACATAATTTTAAACAGACTGCTGAAATTTGGGGGGTTGGATAACATGACTTCCATTGAGGGTTGATGCTACTTTGTTTAGTAAGATAATCCCCAATAAAAGAAGGGCCTGAGCAAGAATGTCAGAGAAAACAGGCTGTTTTCGCTGAAATTACATCAAATATACAGAGGTAGGTGATACAGTTGATGTAAACTAAAAAAAAAAAAAAGATTGCCATTGAGGTTTGATGCTACCTTGTTCAGTAGGATTTTTACGCTTGTTTAGCAGGATAAAAAATAGTGATCTTTCAGAATTGACACCGATGTCAAAGCTAGACTGCAAGTCACTCAAAATTACTTTAGATGAGAGCTTCCCGGTGTGCATGCGTCCCCACGGCCGCGCCTCGCACGCACCCAGTGTGGGTCACGCTGTGCAGACAGCGGTGAAGTGCTGCACATTTATGTTCCTTCGTATAGCCCAGGAGTCTCTGACTAGAAAAAGAATGGTTCTAACATGTTATTCCACACCCTCACACTGGTATTTCAGCAGCTTTCTCATCATTAACGGGGTATTACCAGGAGGTTTCTAAATCCTAGTATTAAATTGTTTTTCTTTTCAGGAGGTACTCTAAGAAAATGGGTCCAGTGTTTTATGACAAATGAAGATTCGAAATAAGGACATGAGGGGAAAAAAGCATCCTTGCCTAAAATCAATAAAAATAAAACCAACCCCCGCTTCTGCATTTCATTTGTGAAAAACTAAAAATGTTTCAGATTTGATTTCAGGGTAAGACATAAAAGCAACCATTTCGATGTAAACTTACTCAGAGTAGCTCTACACGCACCCCGAATATAAGATCCAGCTGCCATCTCTGGCCGGGCCCTCCGCCCGGGGAAGGCTCTGGAAGGAGTCGCTCAGGCCGGGCCAGAGGCTCCCCGAGGGTTTGTGTTTACCGACGAAAGGGATGGGCTCCCCGGACCCGAAACAGGCCTAAATTAGCTGGACTATACATGTTTCAACTTTTCTTACCTTTCTTTGTTAAATGAACTTATTTAGTGTCTGCAAATCTGTTTGTTCTCTTAAAATTAGAAAAACTTAATGAAGATCATAGTTTTTAATAAAATCATTTTATTTTTCATAGTTCTTAGAGCTTCAAAAAAGCATTTGCATGGGGCCATACTGTGGGAAACAGCATCTGCATGAAAAGGAAGCAGTCCGGTTGTGTGTCAGGTCCTAGAACACGCCCCTTGAGCCTGCCCCCTCACTGCAGGCTTCACCTGCCCTTGGCGGTGGCTTAGTGCACAGAAACCAAGCTCTGCATGGGATCTTCTGCCTGCCCCGCCCTCTCCCGACTGCTCTCTAAGCTCCAGGAGGCAGGGCTGCTGCTGACCGCAGTCACCAATAGTGCCTGCACACAAGGTACTCGGCACGTATTTGTTCCACGAACGAAAAGGTCTGTGACGTCTGGCACCATCCCAATAAGAATGAACAGCTGATTGAAACATCCCATGAAAAGGATTTCTGTGAGCAAGGAGCTAGGTGAGTGCGGACGCTACCCAGGGAGACTGAACGCTGAGACCGGATCGTGCCCACAGCTGACACTGACCGTCTCCGTCTCCATTCCCGGCCTTGAAGTCTACTTCCGGGCCCATGGCCACAGTTAGTATTTGGGTGTCCGGACAGAGACAAAGAACATGAAGAAAAACAACGCCTTAGGGAATAAAGAGTGCATAGTTTATCACTGATGGGGCTCCACAGAGCTTTCTTGTTCAGATATCAGCTACGATGTGACTTTTGGATAAACATCACTGGGCACCCTACCCACTGACAATGGGCCGACCACCAGCTCTGCAGAAAGAGGTGTTAACTTTCCATCTCATCCTGCTTCAGCGTCGGGAAAACTGTGTCCTACTGCACGAAGGAATGGGGATTGCTGACAGATTATAGAAAGACACTGTTATAGTGCCACAAATGTTTTCCTTGCATATAATTTAATTAAGTCTATAAGTACATTCTTCCTCAAGTCTTTCAGGCAGATTTACATTTCAGCAGTCTCTACCATATGCCCGGTAATATGTGTATGTGCTAATGTTTATTTTTATTGTAGAATGTTTCGCAACAACAGTGTTCGTCCACAGCACACTGTCAAAGCACAGAGCATCTTGACTGCTGGGTCCACGTCAGGCCTGCTATTAGACAGGCTTTATCATGGGCACTGGTGAGAGCAACTCTAAGTGCAAACTGAAGTCTACCTCAGACAGCAGGTAAATATTCCTAAACTGTATATATCGGCAGTGATTTGAAAGCAGAGATAGGCTGAGATCTTTCACTACAAGCTCCTTTGCTCCTTTCTTGACTTAGCATCTCATTCAATGGAGTGGCTGTTCCCTCCCTAGAGGAGTCGCCTCCACTTCCAAGCACCTCCACTTCCTCCATGGGCCTCTTCTGAACTTACTGACCATAGGGGCCAGAAGTTTGCTTGTAAATTCTTAAAACAGTTATGGTATAGGATGAAAAAATAGATGTAGAAGTATTTAGAAAAAAGATAAAAGTCATGTGTAATTTTCAGTATAATTGTATTATAGTTGGGAAATGAAGCTAACATTTCAGTTTGCTTTTTTCTTACATTTAAGTAGAAAGTGGGTGTATGCAACTAGTAAGTTAAAATACAATACCTCAATAATTCTTTATAATTCAGAAATCAGCAAGGTGGAATTTTTAGAATCTATCAGTAAGTAGTCTTTATTTTTAACAAATTATTGGTTTTAATTATTATCATAAGGTGTTAAAGATTTTTCAACCTCTAAAATTTTTCCTTCTGAGCCAACAAAGATGTTTTTGGAAAGTTATAATTTGAGTTCTACCTGTTAGACTTGAGAGTATTACTGACCCAAAATTACTTTTCTTATAATTAAAAACAACAAAAAACCAGAAACCAGGGTAGATTATGGGGAAACCCCCACAATGTTGGCTGCCTTCTGAGATTCAAAGCAAATAACATCAAGACATCAACATTAAGAAGTTGCATTCTCCCTCCCCACTGGTTCTGCTTAACACAACCAGGAAGCATCTTTCATTTCATCTTGGTTGTTGCAGAAGCGAAACGTGTCTACAGAGAAGGTAACAGCAAGTATCTACCCTTTCTTCTCTGCAAAGGAAAACGCTGATTAGACTAGAGCTCCGTATGAATTTCCCAAGCATTTACTCTTCAAACCTTCAGCTCTATCAGCTTAAACCAGCGAATAAACAATTAACAGCAGCCTCCTTCTGGAGTTCTGACCGGATCGCCAGATTCTGCAGTGGGAGTCTTCTCCAACTTGCTTTTCCTGAGCTGTGCTCTCCAATACATCGTCTTACAAAAATTAGCGTGTTAATTAAGCCTTCTTGGCAAGTAATTGCATGTTAAGGTTTTTTTTTTTTAAAGATCTTTTGATTCCTGATATGAATGTAAAATAAAGGTTACTATGGTGCCATTCATTTTTTAATGGCACAGAATTAATTTCTTTAGTAAGAAAATAAAGACTCTACAGGTAGAAGAACATAAAGGCTAAAAAATTCCCTTATATACACATTATCATTTTTGTTTCTTGTATATCATATGGAAATCAACACCTAATTTCAAGATTATCAGCAGTCTTATGCAAGATGTAATTTTCATCTCACCTGATTCTAGCGTAGGTAAGCATACATTATTCATCTCAAAGCAGCACTCCAGAGTCACATGCACCAACATTTCACACCTTTTCTGCTAATTTCTGACAGTGCATTGGAACAGAGCTGATGTTATGCTAAACCATGCCCAGAGTGTAATGTTTATATTTTCAGGTAGGCAGTTTTGAAATAAGATGTTTCAGATACAACAGCCCATGAAAGATTTAGGCCAAAGGCCAAACTTGTCATTTACTCCAAGGCTGCTATTAGTTCCCATGTAAATGGAGCAGTAACTGGCTTTAAATTTCTGAAGTGCACAGGGGTGTGACATTCGGACTGTCACTGTGTGGAGGACAATTTGTACAGAGGTGCTTGTTTACAGCAGCATTTCATCAACAGAGGTAACTTCTCCGAGACACATTCACAACACTCATTTTGCTACTAGTGCAATTATAAAGAAATCCCTTTCATGGATAAATTATTGAAAAAAGTCTTATAAACAAATAAATAAATAAGCAAGCATTAAAGTAGAATCAGTTAATTATCCAAAAACCCCGAAAAAAACAAAACCAAAAAACCAGAGCCACTTACAGGGCTTGACGGAGTCTTTGGCCAGCCTGGGCTGCTAATGCTATCACTTTCATCTCCATGAAACGAGGAGATGCTAGCAGAGCTGGGGGACATTGGGGAAGGGACTGGCAGGTTGCCGGGGGTTGGGGGCTGAGAAATACCCTGAGAGCTGTAGCTATCCTGTGGTAGAGGAATAAAAAAAAAAAAAAAAAAGACAAAGGTAGGGCAAACTTTATTTTAAGTAACAAAAAGAACATCCAGTTAACAGACTAACTTTTATATATACATAAAGACATGTACAAACAAACACACACAAACACAGACATAAAGGTATTAAAACAACATTCTTAATCAGTGTTACTTGGCGAGTTTGCTGGATGCTGAGGCCACTGAGCCACCATGCTTACTTCAAGCTCACATGGAATGCTAAGCATGGGTTACCCCGCATGAAAGAAAGAAAGGAAAAAAAAAAAAACCCAAACCAAAAAAGCTGTTCACCTTATTTATGAAATAAGGCAGGAAAGCAAAATATTAAGTATGTTGTTGTTGCTGAGGCGGCCAAAACAGGAAGCTACAAACTGAAGGCAGAGACATGGCTGCAAGAATCAAACCCAGGCCAGACCCTCACCTCCCCACCCCCCAGCGCTCTCTGGGCGGGCTGTCCCTCCGCCCCTCTCCCGCGACCAGGAGTTAATGCCGTGAGAACTAGTAACTTTCAGATCCACACCAGGACGGGTGGGGAGACAGCGCAGACAGGGCGCGCGGATGAGGGCATGCAGAGCAGGGACCAGCGCGAGCAGAGCGGCCGGGCCCAGCTGGGCAGCGGCCGCAGGCAGGCCCCACCGCGTGCAGAGGGGAGGAAATACCTTCGCCTTGCTCTCGGGCTGCGGAGCGCCTTCTTCTTTGCCGTCTGCTTTGAGGGGCAGGGGCAGTTTGGATTCGCCAGGAGACATCATATCTGCAAGACCCATAGATGCTAATCGGAAACAGGAGAAAGAGTTGAGGATTATACATATGATTCGTCAGGCTGAGCTCCCGCTAACACAAGTTACTGAGGGATGCATGGGGCACCTGAATTTCCCTTGAAGGAAGAAAGGAAAACAGAAATCGCAACAGAGCACACTAATTTCTGAAATCTAAATAGCATGACATTCTGGCAATCTATTTAAAAATTTATTTAAAAATTAAAAAGCAATCATTTTCTCAAGATCCAAACCACCGAGAGTCAACTTACAGCAATATTATTGAACAGAGTAGGTGACAGGTGGGAACACGCCCGATCTTTAAACTGCTTGTCGGTGCTGAAAGCAAATGCTGGTTGTGTATGTTTTCACCTGTGACTAGAGGATTTAGTGCTTTCTTAAGTTCCTAAATTCACATAATACAGCCTGCAAAATCATTTGATATTTTATATCGTTTTATCTGAAAACCTTATCTACTGCATGTGGTCTAGTCTAATAATGGAAGACAATCATAACAAATGACTTCAAAGACAATGATCAAAAGTAAGTTCTGAAGAATTTCTAATTATTCTGCAATGGGGCTGGTTCTCTTTCAGCCCGGTGCACTGTGTGCATTGATCAGGCCTTAGCAGAGCTCAGATGCCCAGGGCAGACACCCACACCCGCTCAAGGGTCAACCCAACAATCCCAGGCAAAACTCATTTTCTATCTCTAGACCCAGAAATTCAATCAAGTTCACCTATGCTTCAGAATGAAGGGGTCACCAAAGAACAATGGATTTATACACATTTATCGCAAATATGAATAGACATTTTCAAGTGAAGAATTTGGGTTTGGACTTCTTTGTAAAGGAAGAGCAAGGCCACAGGAAGAAATGAGTGTTGAAATCCGGGGAGTAACAGCTGAATCCCTGCAGAACCCCACGGTGAAGACCATCTGCCCAGCACCAGACAGACCAGGAGAGGCAGGGAGAAGAGGGGGCGGCAGCAAGGAAGACGGGAGAGAACTGCGAGCAAAGACCAGAAGACACTCCTGTTTCAAAGGGAGCTAAACCCGAGGCTTCAGGACGGGACCCGCTTCACATCCTGCGGGAGAGCTGTCTCCAGCAGGCAGTGCCCGCGGAGCATGATGTGCCAAACACAAAAAAACAAAAAAAAACAAAAACAAAGAAAAAGGAAGCTTAAAAAAAAAGGCTCCACAGATTGCCTACTACAAAATGATTATTGCACATATTCGTGTATTACTATGTTTTAGAAAATAATTAGTTTTAATTACAGCAGTGAGAGAGTGAGCAGGGCTCTGCGAATTAGCTGGCAAGCTCTGTGGTGCTAATTTGCTAATATCGTTAGCATCACTGCAGGTTGGGACCAGAGGTCCTGCCAAAAAAGCCTACCCTGCCATGTGCCCATGGCTGTACACGGGCACACTCAATGGTGCGCTCTAATGCCTATTTTCCAGTGGCTTGTGTTTCAAAGCCCATTTGCAGCCCAGTCAGCCCTTGAAGTCATCACCACACACACACATCATAATTGGGATGTTTTTCTTTTTTTCCAAATTACTTTCAATACTTAGACTTTAAGAACTGGAACAAAAAGCTTTTTCAAGTGATGCAGCTGCAGAGAAAAATCTATTGGGATCAGCTAAAAATGCTGTTATTTTTGTGAATGTGTGAAACCTCAAAAAGCAGCTGAGAGAGATTACACGGAGAAGCCCGCCCTGCTGCTTTTGGGTGGTTTTATCTCTGGGGTCTAGCGAGACAGGAATCGGTAAATCTGTACATTAAGAAAGACCCTTTTTAGAAAGACAGAAGGGGGAAAGCAAGACGAGCGTGGAAAGGGGCTTATTCATGAAAGTCCACATATCCTTGCTGGTTATTCAGAGTAGGTTCAAAGGAATGACAGCCACCCAATTCCAGAGAAAGTGGCAAAGTCCCGGACACGCAGCTCATGTTAAGTCCTGCTTCTCAAAAGGCCACGACAAATAGTTTTTGTCAGCATTTATAATACATTACACCTAAACAGTATTTAAAAAAATAAAAAACAGCAATACCTTTCTTCGTGCATTAAATGTGTTAATGTACACGGAAGCAAGTTTGAAGCATAAGGAACTAGGTAGCTATGTATTATGATAATTAATGATAACAATTTACACTGATTTAAAAATAAAACTTAGCCCTGGCCGGTTTGGCTCAGCGGTTAGAGCGTCGGCCTGCGGTCCGGAGAGACCCGGGTTCGGTTCCCGCTAAGGGCACGTACTTCGGTTGCAGTTTGTCCCCGGCCCTGGTTGGTCGTGTGGGTGGCAGCCACTCGATGTGTCCCTTCACGTCGATGTTTCTCTCTCTCTCTCCCTTCCTCTCTCTCCCTCCCACTCTATCTGTACAAAAAATGGAAAAATATCCTTGGGTGAGGATAAAAAAAAAATAAAAAAATAAAAATAAAACTTAGACAAATATAAGCATATATATTGATTTGAAATTCTCCAAACGTCTTCATTTAAAATATATAAAATATTATGTATTTTAAAGTGGGCATTTGGGTTATACAAAAATAAAAGCTGCGAAAAATTGCATTGCTTTATTATTTTAAGAGATAAATAAGGACAAGACTTACAGTAATCATTTTATTTCACATTCCTGCCTTACAATGTAAGTTTTATGCTACTAAAGGGATCATATGGTTTTTGTCTACTGTGGCTTTTACTATTCTTTTGTTGGAATGCTTATTTCTGACTTCTCAGCAGACTTCTCAGTGAGTCATGCAAAGAGCCACATCCCAGGCCACGGGATCCAGGGGCAGGGTTTCTTCCCTCTCCGGAGAAGGACACCACTCTCCGGGGATGTGTCAGATCGGGGCACTGAGGGCCTGGGGGTGCAGCCAGCCCAGGGCTGCAAATCCACTGCAGCAGGGCCTCCGGCATTCAGGAGCAGAGAGATTTCTTACGTCAGTGTGGGCCCAGGTCCTAAGGCAGCTAGTTCACCCTGGGTTCAATATATCCAAGAAGAGCGTAAAGAACACACGGTGGAGTCAAAGTGAACTTAACACTCGTTCTGCTCCCCCACTTCCTCTCAGTCTCCGTGCGAGGCTTCGAAATCATTCTCAGAGGTGGGCAACGACCGGCTGCGCAGTTCCTCTCTCTCCAAGGTAAATGACACACCCCACTCTGCAAGATGCCTTATTCCTTGTTTCTGAAAACACAAATGGGCCTATCTATGTGCATCCATCTGTAGATGTTCATGACTATGTTTATATGTGGCGAATACATAAAGAACACGGTTAACATAACACATACAAGTATATGAGACGCTCACGAGAAACACGGCTCTCTGCCCGGATCAGCGCAGTCTTGGAAGAACGGCCCGAAGAAACTCCCCTACGCTGATGCGCCTCCATGGGGGCCAAGCAAGGGGGATGCAGGACCCCATCGTGCCCACCGCAGCCCGCTGCCCACCCACCCACGGCAACATCAGCCTGAGCAAAACCAGCATGCACACCAGGCGTCCCTGTTCCCAGGGGGGCAGCTCCTCCCGCCTGCACGCTGCGCCGAGGCCCCCAAGAAAGCCCCAGCCACACACGCAGTCTGGAGCCACCAGTACACTTGGTATAACTCAGTGTACGTTTTTTTTTGTTTGTTTGTTTTTACCAGTTTAAGAGATGTGGTTCTCATAATTTATTGTCTTTTGTATTTTTTTTTTTTTTGGTGGGAGGAGGGCAGCAATCCACCTAAAAGAATAACTGAAAGTAAGCAAACAAAAACCCAACAATATTTATAAACTACCCAGACAACCACTAGCAATGGTGTCAGACCTGAAACTCCTAGTGAAAGGCCCTACAATCTCAAGACAGAAAACAGCTGTCCATCTGGTAGATTTATATTCTAGGCACAGATCTGTAAATCTTTTTTTTTTTTTAATTTCAAAACAGCAAATTATCCAGTAAATGGCTAATGTCACACAAAGCTGCCAGGAGAGGTGTTGAGCGAAACACCTCTAAGTCAAGCGTTCATGCGCACACACGGAAACACCTGAGGAGCCTACTAGAAATTCTGACTGTGGGCTGAGGTCTGTACTTTTATTTAATAAGCACTGCGGGCACTCGGACAGGTGGGGAGCTGCGGCCACTGTGCAGTGTGACTGCCCCTTTCCTGCCAGGACAGCCTGTACGGGGGACAGTGATAGGGACAGGGAGGGGACCCGGAGGCCGAGCAGAAGGCCTGGCCCGCGGCACCTGGCGCTCACTCCTGCGTGCAGGGGACTCTGCCGGACGCCCTACCACCAGAGAGCGCCTCCGGCGAGCACACGGACAGCCACAGCCGGAGGGCAGTGCCTGGCTTAGGGGTCCTCTTCAACATGACGCTTACGTGCAGACTGAGCAATATTCTATGGCTAAAGAATATTATACAATGAAACACAAATCAGTGCCATGCAACTAACAACAGAATATTATATAAGGTGAATTTAGCAAGGTTATATGGACTTACAATTTTGACCATAATAATACATAATTCTAATCTTTTAATCCAAATGCTATTTTTAAAAAGCTCCTTTAGAGGAAACCCCCCTGCTCACCATCCCACTTCCCCAGCACCTAAAGGGAAGGACAGTCGCCACTTCGTACTCGCACTGACTCCCTGGACACTGCTTGCGCCCTGAAGCCTGGAACTGCCCACTGCCCAGGAGGGCTGTGCTGGGCCCCTCACGCCACGGCACGAAGGTCCGAGCCGGGCAGAGGGTGCTGAGCACCGTGGCCTCAGCTAAGTGAGGTTCTGAAAATCCCGTGGCCGCCCAGCCACTCTCTGTACTTTCTCCACAAGTGTCCTTTGATGGAGAAGACGCTTCGCTGTTACCACGAGGAACTGACCTCCGCAGGCCCACACCACGCCGACGGGGGTGACCATGAGCCCAGCCCTTTCTGGCCCGTCTCTAGAAAAGTCACCTGAGCGCCAGCCAACTACACACCCCTCAGGTGCTCACTGCACCGGCCGGCATCCCCGGAGCCTGCCACGCAGCCCTGCAGACACGCGTGTACCGTCACCAAGCGACAGCAAAGCGCCGAATCCTCGATATTCTTCCATGTGCTGGATGATTACTTTCTATCAGACAGCATTTGACTTAATAAAACTGAAATAAAATCACATAAATGTGTAGGAAAAAATCTGATAAATGTTTAAATTATTAAAAATTCAATATTTCAAAATGCACAATGCAATAAAAAATATATACTGCTAGCCTGTACAAAGCCTGCGAGGATAAATGGCCTTTCCTGGAACAGATTACCTCTGTGTGAAATAACAAATAACTGAATCATCTGAATGGTGTGCAACGCCCCTCCCTGCGCATCTCCGTTAACCTGGTTACTCCTCAGGATACATAAATCTTCTGAGGCAGGGCACGGTGCCATCTGTTTGTTCTTGGTATGTTTGTGGCTCTGGAGTCCAAAGGAAACAGGGAAAAACGGGTATTGCTGATCGAAGGTGAGAATTTACTGTGTAGCTGCAATGCTCCCAAGTAATTTCACTTCAGCAAGCCAGACAAACCGCAACGTCATAACCCAAGTCCCCGTCACCCGGGAGCGTGGGGAGGCGTCCGGCTAACAGACGTCCAGGCTCTGCCCTCGTCACCGCAGCGTGAAAACTCCGGGGAGGAAGGGCCGCCGGCTCCACACCAGGAAGGCCTGTTCTGTTGATGTAAAAACTGTCATTCTCACCAGTAGTTTCTCTTGTTTCCTCTTCCACAAACTTTTAAAGGACGTGATCAGGGACAGGCTCTCTTAGCCGAGGCCGCAGACCCCAGGGAGGCAGGTGCTCGGGGGGCGCGCCCGGTGCTGTGCGCTCCCGACAGACCATGGCTTCTGGGCGCCTTTCAGAGACGGAGCGGCCGGGAAGGCAGCGGAAGGCAGAGGAGACAGAAAGCACCAACGAGGGGACGCCAGCCTTTGACTCCACAGGGTGCTGCGCGCGCTGGGAAGCACCCAGGGCACCGGCCCACCCAGAGGCCGGCGCACGGCCAGCTGCGGTCAGCTGACAGCGCTCGTCCTCGGTGGGCAGGGCCCGAAGGGGCGGGTCAGGCTCCAAGGAGTCTGAGAACACAGAGCCTGTGCACAGGTGTGGACACCTCGTATTCCCACAGACTGACGGAGTTCGCTTACTGCACTGATCAGATGGGTTGATAAGAATACAGTTGAGGCCATAAACTGGGTTGAAAAATTATAAACATACTGAAAAATGTAAACAGTTCACCAAAAAAGTGTATAATTTCCCAACAGAGACAATCTGCATTTCCATGCAGACATTTATTATTAATCCTCACCTGAGGAGATATATAATATATATATATATATATTTTTTTTTTTCCATTGATTTTTAGAGAGAGTGAAGGGAGGGGGGACAGAGAGAGAGAGAGAGAGAAGCACTGATGTGAGAGAGACACATATCGATTGGTTGCCTCACAAATGACTGTGACTGGGGCGGGGGATCAAACCTGCAACCCAGGTATGTGTCCTTGACCAGAATCAAATCCAAGACCCCTTGGTCCCAGGGCTGATGATCTAACCACTGAGCAAACTGGCCAGGGCTCCCATGTAGACATTTCAAGATGAATTTCCCTACAGGGAAAAAGGACTCCAACCCCTGCCCCTCTTTCTGCCCTTCAGTCATTTTCTCTGAAACAGGATTTTAAAATGTATCTCCACACTGTCAAACAGCTAATTAGATTTTGTCCTGAGTCGCCCAATACTCCCACAATGCCCCCCACCCACGGAAAGAACTCGGTGTATATATTTAGCAAGTAATCTCCAATGACTCCTTAAATATGTCCACATATTATACACAGAATGAATAAAAAGAATTTATATAAAATGTAATCCTCAAGTCTTAAAGCAGCTAAACAGACTGAACAGGTTTCCAAGCAGCAGAAAGGAGCGCGTCCCCCAGGCGGCCAGAGGCAGGAGCAGGCGTGCGCCTGGGAGAGAGGGGGCGGAGGGCGCGGCCTGGGCGCCAGGTTACCTGTGGAGCTGTTCACCATATTGGGCGGCATGCTGTAGGGTGGGGCCTGGGTGCTCATCAGCCCGGCGCTGCTGTTCATGGGCTGGCTGTACGGAGAGCTGGAAGTCATGAGTCCACTCTGGTTCAGGCCCGGGAAGCCGCCTTGCCTGCGTGGAGAGAAAGCACACGCACACGTGTGTGACTGGCACCGGCAGCCCTTTGCCCTGGCAGCCCTTTCTTGGGATGCATTTATGCAAGGGGCGGGGCTACTATTTTCATGTTTCTTTTAAGCTTAAAAGAGTGTATTTCCTGGAGAGAGAGGCTGAACTCTGTTGCTAAGTAATTATTTAATGCACTATGTAAAAATTCCAAATAATATAAATTTCACAAATAAATTCCACATTATTTAAGCTTGTCAAGGTTAATATAGGGGAATATCAGCAAGAAAGGGTGAACTTGAAATAAGAACAGGAATTACAAAAGCAAGCAAAATCAACTAACATTTTTAAATATCTGACTCTTTATTAACATTACTTAGTATTCTCACATCAAAAAGCAGAAGTCAAGGAATGAAAACAAATAAGCAGTGTAGGAATATTACTTAAAAAAATTCTTTGATCTAAATTTTCTGATATAATGAATATGAGAGAAAGCACTCCCCAAACTCCCTTCAACCCTATTGTCTAACATTCTGAAATTAGGTGCTATTAAAAACACACCAAGTTCCCTAGATTAAAATTACACAGTAAACATCAGACTTCCACTTCTTTCTGTAGGGTTTCCAGAGACAGAAAGCTTGAGGGAGCTTAGCCTGGATGCAAGTGTCCCCAGCAGGCTCCTGTCCTAATAGACCGGCCCTCCCCTGCTGCCATGCAGACGCATGAACTTCTCTCTTTTGGTGACTTAGTTTGGTTAGTTTTGTGTCTACACTCTGAGGCAAGTCTCTTCACTCCTGCAAATAGGCAAAGGGTATTCTTTAATCTGAAGGAGACAAGTGACATGCAGCGTCATTTCTCTAACTGCAGGAAGCTGGGGCGGAGGGGAGGATTTCACTGGCAAGGCAGTTTAATTCTCCCAGGAAAATTACAGCAAAGAAAGATAATGGCAATGTGGCAAAATCTTTAAAAGACTCCATATTATAGTCAAGATTTTCTGTATATAGTACCTTTAAAAAACTTTCCAAAGATTTGGCTACTAATATTTACTCTTAGGAGTAACACTAACAGGCGAGGTAAAAATCCACTTTGCTTGTCTGTTCCAAATTAATTACAATTACTACCCCTCCACCTCCATTAAACTGTCATTTTTTTTTTTTTTTTTTTTATCCTCACCCGAGGATATTTTTCCATTTTTTGTACAGATAGAGTGGGAGGGAGAGAGAGGAAGGGAGACAGAGAGAGAAACATCGACGTGAAGGGACACATCGAGTGGCTGCCACCCACACGACCAACCAGGGCCGGGGACAAACTGCAACCGAAGTACATGCCCTTAGCGGGAACCGAACCCGGGTCTCTCCGGACCGCAGGCCGACACTCTAACCGCTGAGCCAAACTGGCCAGGGCCATTAAACTGTCATTTATTGGCTCTTAATGTATAATAGTAAAAAAAAAAATTACAGAGATTCTTTAAAAGATTAACAAAAGTCATTAATAAAAAACAATATACTATTCTAGTGTAACTATTTTCAGTGAATTTAACTTTCTGGATTGTAGAAAAAGTTCAAACATGGCCTGTTTGAAAATTCAAAGTACCAAAGGTTTAAGTGTTTTTTTGTTTTTTTTTTCCCCCTCTTTTAAATATTATTTAAACAATTCAGGGAAATTCTGTACAGAGTAACACTTGATGGCTTGGAAAGAACATTCAAGAAGGCTGAAAGACGATGGTGTGAGTGTTTCTAGGAGAAAGGAGTGTTAGTTCAGCCTTGAACACCCAGCTCACCGAGGTTCCACTGGGAACAAGGACAGTCTGCTGAACCAGAGCTACAGTACCCACTGCAGTTCATTCAGAGTGGACCCGAGTCACCCTGGCTTCTGATTAACCTCCAGGTCGGCCCACACCTGTAAGTACCTTGCCCAGCAGCTACAGACGCATTCCTATGTGGTTAGGGTCTTAGCAGCAGGCAGTTCGCATTAACTCAACTATCTTGGGTTCCCTGACGTGTTTCCGTTCAAAGCACTTAAACTGTTTCAGATGAGGACAGTCCCCCAGTTTCCCCACGGAGATCCCAGGGAGCACATCCTTAACTTAGGGGCAGGCTGTTTCTGGAGATCACTTCCAACTCACTGACTGCTTCCAGACCCCAGCCAGCTTTGTCCGCCCTTCAAGACCCAGACCTGGGGCACCTCCTCTATGCAGCCCCCATCTCCTCTCCCTGGAGGCCCTGCCTTCTGCACACACGTCTTTCAGAGCAGCATGTCCTTTCCTTTGTGCTGAACAATTCACGTGCATGTCTTGGCTCTTCTAGGTGTGGATGCCTCCCGAGAGGAGCAACTGACACCTGACAGCTACTAAAACATATATTTTAAATGAATACACTGATAGAGAACATTTGTATCATGGTCGATAGGAATTATGAAAGACAGCCACCGTTTCAGGCTTCCACCAAATTCAGTTGCACACCCCGTGGCCTACCACGTGTATGTAACTAACGGCTCCATAAGCACACTTGTTCAGAACTAAGGTGGGAATGAGAATCGAACATCAAGTCCGCCAGGCGGACAGTGAAGCGAAGGAACTCAAGGACTCATCCAACGCTCTCTACACTCTCTCCCTCGTCTACACTGTCACAACAAGATGATGAACATATGTATTATAGAGCTATTAAAAAATACCCTCAGGGAGCAAACAATTAAAGATTTAAATGTCTGTGTTGGAGGCCAGGTGCTGGTTACAATGGTCCTCGACTAAACCATGCCCACAGTTCTTAAGAGTCTGGTGAAAAAGCCAGGGTCTTGGCTCTGTCACTAGCCACACTTTTCCACTGTCAATGGGATTAGGGAACAGATCACTTTGGCTCGCTGGACCTCAGTTTCTACATATGAAAACATGGAGGGATGGGCAATGATTTTAATGTTAAAACTTTATGAAGTTCTTACAAATATGCGTTAACACGTTTTCTGTGCATTACACATTTAATTTTTTAAATTCCTAGGTGGAATCATGCTCACATACAAAGAAAGACAGGATCAGAGTTTAGATAGCCCAGAGCTAACACAGAGCCTGAAGACACAGAGACAACAACTGGCAGAACAGGGTCCCCAGGCCTGCGGCTCGGCTGTGTCCACTTCTTCCTGCAGGGCCCTCTGACACCGCTGACACTGGACAGACCACGTGTAACGCCACACTGAAGCCGACGCGGAGCTGATACCGGACAGACCACATGTAACGCCACACCGCAGCCGACGCGGAGCTGACACCGGAAAGACCACGTGTGACGCCACACCGCAGCCGACGCGGAGCTTTCTGTGCGTCTACCAGACTCATCTGCAGTTGGGGACAGCTGACAGATCAGAATTGAGGGCACCCTGCAGCGAGGTGAACAGTGGGAGGCGGTGGAGGTAAATGCAACAGCTCCCTGGACACCTGCTTCCAGGGAGGAGCTTATCCTGTGTGCCGCAGGCTCCTGGGGGCCCCCGCAGAAAAGCAGCCAGGGGAATCGAGTCTTCCCAGGAGCAGGGCACGTGTGGCCATGAGTGCAGCACTTGGCTGCCTGTCTGAATGGGGAGAGAGCCAGCCTTTCATCACCGCAGATGAAATCCTACTCATTGTTACTTTGGAAGACTATTGGTGATTTTGAACAAGCAAGATGGGCTTAATACTAAACAAGAGCTTTCGATGCATTCTGTTGATTTCGGAAATTGAGACAATGTGTTCCGTGGCAGAAGACGCAAGGTGCCCCTGCGACCAGGCGGAGCGCTCCGGCTCAGCACAGAGTGGCTACTGCGGAGGGTTTCCGTGGCTCGAGACAACAGCCTCGAACCGCCTGGCTCACCGCCATCAGCAGGACCACAGCCACCTGGGGTCGGCCCTCTCCAGAGGCAGCTCTCACCAACGGTGGCCCCTTCCTGCCACAGCAACACCGGAGTGCTCCCAGCGGAGTGAGGAGGCAAGTCACTCCCCAGACACTGTCTCTTTCAAAAGGACACAGGAGCAGCAAAAATACAAGCTGAAACGGGGGAAACATTTTCACTGTACAACCTTACCAAAAGTGCACAGTGCCTGGCAGAGCCAAGCACCCTAACCTTGACCCCTGGGTCTGCGGACCCCTGGCTTGGTTTCCAGTGGGTCCTGGGCCCAGACAGTGTCTCTTGCAAATGGCTGAGCTGATGCCGCAGATGCCCGGCCTGCAGTGGCGATGAAGGCCCGTAGCGCCCGGCAGGGACTCGACAAACACTGGAAAAGAACATGTTGTTGTAACTAAGGCAGCCATTGGCCTGCGCCCTGTGAAATGACGAGCTGGTGGCGCTCACAGACACAGGTGCTGACCACAGGCCCGCGCGTACTGCGGCCAGGTCTACAGATGGCCGGGCACCCTCCCTCTACCAGGTCTACGTCCAAGTATGACATGGATTGTCATTTAAACACCCACACCTGCAGAATATGCAGAACTGTATTTATTTTTTTTATTTTTTATTTTTTTCCTCACCTGAGGACATTTTTCCATTTTTTTGTTCAGGTAGAGTGGGAGGGAGAGAGAGGAACAGAGAGAGAGAGAGAAACATCGACGTGAAAGGGACACATTGAGTGGCTGCCACCCGCACGACCAACCAGGGCCGGGGACAAACTGCAACCGAGGTACGTGCCCTTAGCGGGAACCGAACCCAGGTCTCTCAGGACCGCAGGCCGACGCTCTAACCGCTGAGCCAAACCGGCCAGGGCCAGAACTCTATTTAAATCGGTCTTTGGTTGGGACGAGATGCTGGGGTTTAAGATCTGTTATTCAGTGACCAAGAAAAAGGTTTGTTAATGAGAGTAACTCAGAAGTGGGCCTACGGACACATCTCCCGAAAGCCTGCGACACACGAGGATCTTTACAGGTTCTCCCGTAGTCGCTTCGGAGAATTCTCAAACATCAACGGTCATCTGCCAACAAAGGTCTGGCTTTGGGGAAAACCAAAGGCAAACACCAATTTTAGAGACGGTGGTCAGCGGTCCACTGAAGGTGGAA